AAGGTTCTTCCCCCAGAGGGTGGTTGGGCACTGACCAGGCTCCCCAGGGCAGTGGGCACAACCCCAAGGCTGCCAGAGCTCCAGGAGTGCTTGAACAACGCTCTGAGGGCCAGGGTGGGATTGTTGGGGTGTCTGTGCAGGGTCAGGAGCTGGACTTTGATGATCCTTGTGGGTCCCTTGCCACTCAGGATATTCTGTGATTCAATCATTCTAACAAGAAGCAGCCAATTAAATGCAGAGTGAGACAATAATCATAAGTTTTCTAGGATTCCTGAAACTAAGGGTAATAAAAAGAGATTAAAATCTCCAAACTCCCGCAGTAACTGCCTGGCCTGATTTCTAAGGGAGACTTGGTCAGGAGGATGGATAAATCAGGGAGAAGCTGCTCCCAGACAAGTCCCCTGTCTGGGTGTGTTTGTGTGTGCATTGCAGCCTTTGCATTCTCTGTTGGAGAAGGAGGCTGTGGATAGCTTGGAAAAATTGCAATCTTTCTCTGATTTCATGGTTGAAACACTTTTGGGGAAAGCAGGAGCTCCCAGTGCTCCAACAATGAGTAAGCCATGCACCAAAGTCCCTTCAACACGCTGGAAATCCCCAAAGAAAAAACAAACCCTACTTTCCTGGTGTTAGTCATGTCACTATAGTGTTTTGGGGAGGGCACAGGCACTGCAGAGATGGGGAGATAGGGCAAAGGACGGGAGAGAACCTTCCTGGCAGGACAAGTAGTGTGAGTGAGCTCAGGCTGCTGACTCCGTGTTACCAAAGGCTTGATAACACTGTAACAGCTTCAGTTTGAAATAAAGGCCAGAAGGGATTCTCTGCAGAAACTCAGTGGCATTTAGGGGGTTTACCCTACAAAGCTGAAAATCCCCTGCTGCACAAACAGACCTTGGAAGCTGCAACATCTGCCAGGCCAGCAAAGTGCTGAGCCTGCCCACAACCAGCCTGGAGCTGCCCCGAGCTTGGCCAGTCCTGAGCTGTCTCGTGGCACCTCCAGAGATCTCCCCTGGCAGATCTGGCTGCACTTTGCATTTCCAAAGCTGTACTCACATTTATTGCTGTCAGCAAATTTCGTGTGTCTGCGTTTAAACCATTTATCCTGTGTTTTCCAGAAGGCAAGTGATGAAAAAAGAAATACATCATTTTATGAAGGCTATTCTGGTTCTTGCTCTGCTGAAGCAGCTTATAACTGGTTTTTTATTTCTCAAGTTAATTTCTTTTATCTGAAACATTTCAGCTCAAGCCAAGAGAGGTTGAAATTAGCAGAGCTTCAGGAGTGATCAATGGATGTGTTCGATCACATCACCTAATTGGCTTTGCACTGTTCACTGTGGAAATCAGGAGTAATCCCTCCGAAATCAATAGGATTATAGGAGCTTAAAAATACTGTGAGGAGGAGGAAAGACAAAGCCACATTTGGGACTAAGTAGCAAGAAGACCACCCTGCTTTGGTGGTGTGATGCTCAGAAGCTGGAGATCATCTGCTTCAAGCAAGGCCACTTAAGCTATTTTGCCCTAAAGAAGCAGGTGACAACTCCTTTTTTTCTCCCTGACCCTTCTTACCACAGGATGAGCATCCAGAGGGTGAGAAAAAGGGCCAGGCTATTTCCATGAGCTTAATGCAGCTTTTCTTCCCCAAGCCAAAGGGATGCACAGCAGGGCTGGGAAATGGGAGCTGCAGCCTCACTGAACCCTCAGGATTTCCCCCTGAGGTGTAAACTGAAAAGAGTCTCATCAAAACACAGCAGCACCTTGTCCAGCCAGGAAGAACAGCTTTGGGACAGGTGGATGGATGGGCTGGTGCCAGGCAGGTCCACGAGGATGTGACTCTGCCTGGACAACTCTCCTCACTGCTGGCTGCCTCTGTTTCCCCACTCTGAGATGGGCATGACGGGAGTGCCACCAAAGGGCACAAACCAAGAGCTGAAAGTGGCATCTCAGCACGGAGGGTGTTGCTACCCAGACATGGAAAGCCCCTCAGATGGGGCTTCTGAAGGCTGTCCTGGTCCCAGTCAGCCCTTGCTGTGACATCCCAGTGCCCTGTGGGTGGCACCACAGCTGGCTGGAGGCTGAGCATGGCAGGCACAAGAGCAGGTCAAAAACTTGAATGTGGTTTGTGAAGTAAAGAAGTACAAGGAGGCAACAAGCAGCTTTCAGTTCCTCTGCAACCCCCATGGATTTAAGTGCTTATAAAATTAGGCAAGGGGACATCATCCATCTCTGTCAGCACGCCAGAGTTAGCAGGATTTGCCTAATTTCATTTCTCAGCAGCCACTCTCTGAAGTCCCTGTGTCTTTAGCACTCTCCTCCCAGCTCAGTGCCCTGCAAACAGCACTGGCTGGTGCTGAGGGACTGTCCCAGCCCATGATGCTGTGACAATTCCAGCTGGGTGACATCCCCTCCTGGGCTCAGGGACAGAGCTGGGCTCAGGGACAGAGCTGGGCTCTGCTCCTGGCTGTGCCTGGCACCCACACACCGAGTCCTTCGGTCCTTGAGAGCCCAAGGCTGTCTCTGCTCCTGAGCACTGAAAGGGGACTGAACTCAGCTGCCAATTTCCCCTCCTTCCCAAAAGCATAAACTAAAGAAATATCCCTTTTTTCCCCCCAAATTTAGGAGGAATACCTTATGAATTCATCACTGTACACCTGACCATTGTAGAGTTTAAGGCCAAAATTGTTCAAATCTCTAACATGCTCAGTGTAGCACAGGTCACATAGTGCCATGAGCTATTCATATGTGTATATATATACATATATACAAATAGCTCATGACATTATGACACATATATATATTAATCTATAACTTGTGTTTAAGGAAAAACTATTCAAATCTCTAACATAGTGTAGCACAGGTCACATAATGTCATGAGTTATTCATATGTGTATATATATATATACACACATATATATACATATATACATACATATATACATATAAACATATATACATATA